TGGATGAAGGGAGTAGCAGAACAAGCTGCAGGGATGCTCCAGTGTCAGGGGATGCTTTTCTGGAAAAGGGGCAGCAAAACCCTCTCAGCACACTTGGAGCTGCTTTGCATCACCCTCTCCTCTGCAATGCAGCTGGAGGCTGAAACCTCAGCAGGAGGCTTTGGGCACCCATAAAGCTCCTGCTGAAACAGGCACAGCATCCTCAGCCCATGGGCAGCTCTGCTCGTGCCTCCAAGAGGATTTTGTCCAGGGCAATTGCAGCGTGGGATGCAGGAAGGAAAGGGATGAAATAAGTGCCCAGGAAGTTCCAGCAGGTTTATGTGCACAGCAGAGCCTGTCCCAGCTGGCAGGAGAGCGATGCTGTCACTCCAGAGCTCATTCCTGCAGGAGAAGCAGGACAGGGGCACCAGCTCCAGGGAGGTCATGGCACCCCCAAAATCCCACAGCTGCCACACTGGGCTCCTGCACTTCAGGTGGAGCTTTTCCCTCAAGGCTGACTCCTGTCTCCAATCTCCACCCCAGGGCTGCTTGTCTTGCTTTCAAGACATTTGTGTATAGCAACCAGCACAGAAAATACAGCTTCTCTCCTGGAGGGTGAAGGCTCTCCCTGTCCTCTCCAGCCAGGCATGGACCCGTTTTTCTCAGCCCCATTTTGCATTTGCTGAGGGCCCAGGACCCATCTCACACACACAGGGCTGACAGGAAGGGAGCCACTCCAGAGGAGCATTGCTTCTAAACCACTCCAATATGGCAAGGCAATGTTAACCAGCTGGGAAAGCTCTTTAAAGACCCTTAATTAAAGGCTGGCTGTTGCACAGGCCCCTCTCCCATCCCCACCAGGAGTGTTTCCCAGTTTCCCGGCCTCTCTCCTGCTGCCCTCCATCCCTCACACTTTCCTTCCCTCTGGCATCTGCCAGCAGCGTGCTGGGGCTGCCAGGGGGGGTCTGCAGCAATCAGCCATCAGATGCAAGTTTAAAATCAGAGTAAAAGGGAAAAAAAGTGGGAGAGTTCCCTCATTCCCTCGCTGTTTTTGCAGGCGTGGCTGCCAGCCTGGATGGCAGTGCTGGCACAGAGCTGCTGTGCCAGCCTGATCCTTCCCATCACTGCTTAGTACAAACTTCCTTAGAATTTCCTCACGTCCTGCATCCAGGTGATGTCACATTACAGTTCTGCTTTGCATTTGATGTCCACATTCTGCTGCACAACAGATCTCAGTTGGGTCAATACATGTGCTTCCCCTGTCCAGCTCATAGGGTCAAAGGCACTCCCAGCCACGTAACCTGGGAAAAATGGGGCTGGATCGGCCCTTTCAGCTTCAGTCTCTCCTCCAACACCAGCTGTGGCATCACCATGAGCCAGCCCAGCCATCCCCTCCTCCTGCCCATTCCCTGGGGAAGGGGCAGTGGTGGCAGTGCCCCATCCACCCCACAGCCATGAGGGGGTCACAGTCAGGGCCTGGGGCTCAGCTCCTGCCAGAAAGACATAATTTTATTCTTTCCTCTGATATAATTTCATTAAGTGAGGCAATGCCTTGCTCAAATCAGAGCACAAATTTGGCATTTGCACTATGGCTGCACACAACCACACTGCTGCAGCCCCCAAAACCAGCAGGGAGGATGCCCAACAGCCCTGGCACAGCCCCCACTTACCAGGCAGTGCCAGCTCCTGCTCCCTGGGCCAGGACAGCCTCTGCACCCTGGGAGAAATCCTAGAGGAGGTTCTGGTGCCTCCTCCCAGCTTTTATAGCCCCCAGGTGCCTGGCAGCACCAGCCTCACCTGGGGAGTGTGGGCTGGCACAGGTGTGCCAGCAGGAAATGGGGATTGATGGGCACTTCCAGGGAGGATCATGATTTCCCTGTCACAGGTTACAAACATTCCAGATGAAATGTGGCACTGCAAATCAGCCCTGCTTCTCTCCTCATCTCCAGACCCACGCAAAAGCAGGGAAGTTTGAGCTTCTTGCTTTTGGAGGTTTTTTTTTCTTTCTTTCTTCCTTATTTTTGTTCTTTCCCTTCTGTCCTCCTAAATCTGGTATAACAGAAAAAGGAGTAAATAAAGGATTTTGGAAAGCTCTTCCAGCCTTGCTCTTCCTGGCTTATGGAGTGGAATGGAGAGGGAGGCCCAGAGCTCAGGAACCACAAAACTTTGGATAGCTGGATTTTGAAAACAAAATTGGGTCTAGAAATGGAAACTCTGGTTAACTGAGATGGGGATGAAAACTTCACTTCATACTTGGCTGCAAAGCTGGATCTTCATCATCCTCTTGTTTTGGCACTGCCCCAATTAACCTGGGACATTTTCCAGCTCCACCAGCACGGGGTGTTTGCCACCATCCCCCCAGCAAGCAGCTGCCCCAGCTCCCTGTGTCCCCAAAACACCAGCACAGCCCAGCATCCTCTCGTTATAACTTTATAAAACCTTTATTCCCAGAGGTTTTGAGCAGGGAGCTCCAGCAGTGCCACCTCTCCCTGAGCCTCTGTGGGAGTTTCACAGCAATTCCTCCTGGATGAGCTGTGGCTGCCCCTGCATCCCTGGAGTGCCCCAGGCCAGGCTGGACATTGGGGCTTGGAGCAGCTGGCACAGTGGAAGTGTCCCTGCCATGGCAGGGGTGGCATGGATGGGATTTAGGGTCCTTCCAACCCAAACCAGGATTCCACGACCCTGGAGAATGAAGTGTCCCAGTGAGCTCTGGGAATTCCAAGAAATCTCTGCTCAAGCCGAACCCTCCAGGACGGCACAAATGGGACAGGGCTGCTGTCACCATCCCCAACGAAACACCTTTTTTGGAAGCACATCCCTCCTGAAAAAGCACCACAAACTCCGCCGAGGTGGACTTAAACCCGCGCTGGGCTCGGAGCAGGAGCCGGGGAGATTTCATCCCCTTCCTACCAAAGCTGCTTTTATTGTCTTGATCTAATGAAGTGCAGACTTCACCTGGACAGAGCCATAAGTGGCTCCTCTCGGAGGCAATGAATACAAATACTTGACCTCGAGAGCTGCGGGGCAGCAATTAGTTTAAGCAGGGGGTTTGTGTAACACTTCAAAAGTCTTAATCCGTGCGGTCAGCCCCGGCACGGTATTTGCCAGAGCGCATTGAGTAGTCTTAATGAGTCTGCAAAGCGAGCTTTCAATACATTTTGGGTCGCTTCAGATGCTTCAAATGGCATAGTCTATATGGTATTGTGCGGCTTTAGAAAGGGCCGGGCTTTAAAAAAGTATGGTTCCCTTTCACAGGGCAGACAGAAACCATCTTTAGAGCCGGGACCCTTAAGGTTTTGCATATCAATAGGGCCGGGGCTGAATGCAGTCACTCAGCTGGGAAATAGGATCACTATCAGCGCTTCCAGCCTTTCACAGGCACTTGGGAAACTTTAAAGCCCTTCGCGGAGAATAATTTGGTCGAATGTCGTCGCTGGAAACAAAACCTAAACAAGCAGAGCGCAGTCCATCATGCGGAGCTGCCAGCCAGGCTGACAAGGGGCTCCAGCCGCTGCGACATCCCGCCCTGGAGGGGACACGGCCGGGGGTCACAGCCTGGGGACATGGCTGGGGGGGACATTGATGGCCTGGGGTCACAAACAG